TGTGTTTGTGTATGTGTTGTGTGTATATACTAGATCAATATTTTATGAAAAAGAGAACCAAAAGAAAATTAATTTTCGAGCTTCTTGCGAGATTTTCCGATCGCCGATCTTGGAAACACTCACCAGAATTTCCTCGAAACGATAATAATTCTCCTGTCTGGAATTTAAGAGGCTCTCTTCTACCGAGTCGGTACCAGTGTTCGATTGGCAAGGATCTCGTCGACCTAGCGCGCTCGATGCAATATGCAATAAGGACAATATCGCCAACAGGCTGGCTGCAAACATATTCTATCTGTCAGAGGTTCACGGAAATAAACGCCGTCGTACTTACCCGCAACATAGGATAGCGAAAGTTTATTGGATCGCCACGCTAAGATGCAGGACAACGATAGATAAAACAACGCTCTTCGACAGCCCTGCGTGGCCGCCAGGACGCTAGACCAGCAACATGAACAAAGAGAATCCTCTTTCCTGCGAAAATAAACCGTCAAAATGTATACTGTCTTTTTTCGTAAAAAGAGAAGTTTCTCTGAATTTGTAAGACTAAAAGGATTATTTTCTAGAACAACGTTTCAAAGATTTTAAGCAAATTCAACAATTTGTTATATCTAAAACTTCTTATTTTTGAATTAAATTGAACTTCTAGAAAAATTTAAAAATATTAAGTTTTGCAATCTTAGCCACTTAAAATGTAACACTAAGAAATTACATCACGGGATCTATTTGGAAGAATTCGACATTTCTTTATAAATAACTCACGATAGTCTTATGATATAATTACGTAACTCTCTCTCTCTCTCTCTCTCTCTCTCTCTCTCTCTCTCTCTCTCTCTCTCCTTAACAGTTGAAAAGCATCAAAAAGGAAGCTACTTTTATGTTCATTTAGCAGATGGAAATAGTTATTAATAAGATTTGGTAAATGGACCATTTTACCCCGCAGTCCTTCTTACCCTACCTTCCTCTACATACGTGTTTACGCAGTCTCTTCACGGCAGTGTTGTTCGATTGGAAGACTTTCCTTCATTTGGATGATTTTAAGACCCATCGGAAGGTCGAAGAAAACTACAAAATACATATACTCTATTCAGCGAGAGGAAATTACTGATCTGTGTTTCGAAACTTTATTCGAGTAACTAATACGGTGTCTACAATAAAAGTCGTATGGTTTCAAGTAAAAAATTGATCATTGCAATTATAGTCGATTATTCATCTCATTATTATTTTTGATTATTCGACTATGATTGCCCGGGAAAAAAATGTTTTATATAAAATTATATAATTATGTAAAATATGTCCATTTATATACAATTACATAAAATTATATGACGATGTAATAATTTGAATGTTTGCATAAGCGACGTTTTTTATGAATTTCTGCAATTTACAAGCTTGAATAACTTCACAAAAAAATCTCAAATTCTTTTTGCGAAACACGCGTCTCATATTTTTATCTGTAGGATACAACAGCAAATTAAAAAAAAAGAATTTAAATTGATATGATGTTTCAAACGTGCCCGGTTTGTCATGGAATGCCTCACACTCAGAGAAAAAAGTCATATCAGTAACTATAAATTTGTAGTGAAATAGCGCCTCAACTATATATATATTATTAAATTCTAATAAGAATATTAGATTAAGTGAACTAAGAAAATATAACATTAATTATATAATCAATTACAAATGGTTAATATATACTATATTTTCTTAATTCACTTAATTTACTTATTGTTCTTATTAAAGCTTTATACAACGACGAGATATTATTAAAGACCGACATATCCTTATGGGAGTTCGCGTCCTTGTTAATATTGAAGTGATTAAGAGTAAAAAAACTGATAATATTGTACTAATTTTATGATTTATTAGTTTAGTAGACGTGTTTATCGGCGTACGTGCATTTAAAACTCAATAATACTCGATTTTTCTTTAAAATTGTGATTTCAGTGTTACCGTCAACGTTCGATTATCAACAGAGATAATAACTGCAGAGAAAAAAATTGTAATTTTTCGGCAATATATAGGATATTACAGCTTTATGCATATTTATTTATAGAGCATTTATGTAATAAAATATCATGAATTTAATAATGTATCAGTCTCAAATATTTATGTTAATAATAGCAAATTTATATCAATTGTCGATGTCAGCGTTCTTCGATTACCTCCGGGCCGGTACTGTTATCAAAATGTGATCTTAAAAAATTAATCCACATACATATATTACGCTGCCGGAGTCCCCATATTCGAAATAGCTCCTATCTTTAATCCTTCATAACATGGGGCTAAAAAGTAAGATATTGAAATAACAAAAGAGCATTTTAGAGGAGATGAACAATACATTCATGACTTCTAATCGAAATTTCAAGATAACGTTCACTTCCTTTATAAAAAAAATGTCAAATATCGCAAAAAAACCATTTTTTAAGTATTAAATCTGAATTATCACGGAAATCTGACTGCTAGAATTTTTTCGTTTGCAGCATCGTTTTCAGTATTTAAACATCTATAAGAGACACGTAGTCCGATTCAAAGTAATTTTTTGCTAGTGTTATTTATCTGCTGCCACACAGAGCATAGTAATATCAGCCGATACCTCCTAACGCTATCATTGAGATGCTGACACACTCCGATCTTAAGCTCTGTCTCTTTAACAACAGGAATCGTGAATCAGTGTTGTTCCATCAGGTCACGGAAAAATATTCCGCGCATGCACGAAAATCCTTCAATGGCTTAATAAAATCTCCCACTAATAACCATAAAGGAAATACAGTTCGCACCTGCTGGTCTCAGGCATATCTGGAGGTCGATTGGGTATTTCGAAATGAGATGAAAATTACAAAAATTACAACCAAATTTATTAACATATTTATAATTTCATTCATCAACATCTAGTGAATTCGCTCACTTTTCTAATTTTGATCTCGTTTAAAGATACATAATCAATCCTTTATGGAGCGAACTGTAGGGGAGACCGGGGACAAAAGTAACACGGGACAATAGTAACATTGTTAATATTTCTTAAACTATAATAGATATATGTATGCGGCTGCATGGTAAAATTCTGTAGACAGATCGGCATTGAATCGTTCGTTACATGCTGATTGTCGCGGAACGTGCACGAGTGCAGGAGCAAAAATTACTTTTTTCATGCATCAAGTAAGTTTTATTGCGTGCACAAAATCTAAAATATTTTTTTTTCTTTATAATATGAAGGTATAATGTATTATCATAATATGTTTTAATGATTACCTGCGTTGATACATTTGTACATTTGGGTTGATTTTTTTATTTAGGTTTTTATTTAAAAAATTTACTATAAATCATAAAATATCATTAGGGGACAATAGTAACATCAATGCCTCGGGTCAGTTGTAACATTACAATTATTCCCAAACTTACTTGATTTTATTTTAATATTATTTTGCCCATTAACAAAAAAACACAACACAGATAAGAGAAAAACTATATAAAAGAAGTGTCTTTATACAAACAGAAACATTTAAAGAAGTTATGCATGACCAGATATCCATTTATGCAGCTGCAAGAAAGAGTATGACTTGCGTTACGTACCTCTAGCAAATATCGTATAATTATCCCCCTCTCCTGTTATAATCGTTACTATCGTCCCTGGGAGTTGGGTCGGTTGTAACAAAATTCCTCATAGTCTTTAAACAAACATAACTTTTTTTCTAGTTACATAAAATAATTAAACCAAAGAAAATTTTGTATCTAAATAAATTCTGTATCTAAAGATACATATTTGTTTAATGTAAGTATCATATTTTAACTGTTATAACACTTCAAAGTCAAAATGTTACTTTTGCCCTCGGTCTCCCCTACCTGAGACATTCCATATCAAACCGGGCACGTTTGAAACATCATCAATTTTAATTCTTTTTTTTAATTTGCTAACTATTCTACAGATAAAAATATGAGACACGTGTTTCGCAAAAAAATTTCAGATTTTTTTGTGAAGTTATTCATGTTTATAAGTTGCAGAAATTCATAAAAAACATCGCTTATGCAAACATTCAAATTATTATATCGTCATATAATTTTATGTAACTGTACATAAATGGACATATTTTACATAATTTTATATCATTTTATATAATTATATATGAAACATTTTTTCCCGGGCATTCATAGTCGAATAATCGAAAATAATAATGAGAAGAACAATCGACTACTGCAATCGTCAATTTTCTACGATTTGAGATCTTACGACCGCTACGACTTCTATTGCAAACACCGTATTAGTTACTTGAGTAAAGTTTTGAAACGCAGATCGATAATTTCCTTTCGCTGAATAGTACATGTATTTTGTCGTTTACATCAATAAAAAACCTTCCATTTCCATTCATTTTCAAAAACCTTCCTTCGACCTTTCGATCAGTCTTAAAACATTCCAAATAAAGGAAAACCTTCCAATGGAACAACACAGCCATACAACGGTATTCACGGAAACGTCACAATAATTTCAAATTTAAATTGACTTAATCGATCAGCGATCATACTTGAACATAATTAATTGCGAATTTCAAAATCAATCGCGATTTTATATTTTATATTACAATCTATTTTTTATTTTTATATTACAATTAGTGATCTTTGGAGGACTAAACTTGAAAGTTTATAATATAAATAGAACGAGTTAGTCCTATATCAATAACATTTTAATAAAGAAAGTGTAAACTGCCATTATAAAAATCTAATATAATACTGGCCAATTTATTACTGACAGACAGTAATTAATTTATACTTGTTTGGAGCAGTAAAAGTAGTAAAGGTGTTTTTAATAAACAATTAATTACTGTTCTTTCAGTATTGGATAGTTTTACATTAGCTGGATTTCTTTAAGGAGGAATAGAAGTAAAATTTTTCAAAGACCTTCTATCTTCCTCATCATCTTTCTAAAAAAAAAATATTAAAATATAATATCTTTTCAGAAAATTTTTTTGAACAATTTTCTACTCTTATTTTTAACATTTCCTTTTTATGAGAGATTCACAATAACATTTTTTATTATTATATACATATGGAGGGAGTTCGGGAAGATGCTATATAGCGTCATTTATTGTGTCATTTTTTATCTTTATCGTTTATTAGTAAATATCGTTTTTATATTATGTAAAACAAGAATTGACGCACGTATGATAAAGTACATTGTGCATATGATGATATTCATATTGATTTGTGATATATTGCTTAAGACACCGAACTCAATACAGTTTTATATGTAAGAATTGACTATATAAATACTGCCTTATATAATTAACGTGAGACGTCTTAAGACGGTCTAAAATGTAACGGCCAGCGCAGAACTTTGCAAAGGATAAAAAATCAACCTATCGGAGTCTTTCATTTGGAAAGGAAGGGCATGGATTGGTTTATTTTTTTAATCATGCGTTGATCAAAACCTTTTGCTCCACCTTAAGAATCGACTATTAGTACCGGCCTACATATATATAGTATGTATATATATATATATATACTATTTAAGGCCTGAACTATCGCTACTGCGCATGTACCAAATCAATCGTATCAGAATTAATAGAGTCCTATATATGAAAGAAGCGACATTCATCCCCACTACCACGTCTACTCCAGCATATCTAGCACAGCAAAAAATTGATCCTAGATACATCCTACAGATATATGTCGAGGGATTTTCAAACATCCAGAATACATACCTGAAGAAACTTAGGAGATATTTAGAATATACTGAGGATGTTGATAAGTCCGTTTAATCTACATCCATAGGACATCACCGTTTAAATATCATTAGGATGTGTTTCGATGACCAAATTTCATCCTGTGTTCATCCAGTGGACGTCCTAAAATGGCTTTTAGAATGTTAAAAATCCTTGTAAAAAAATACTACTGAGCATTACTGTGCTGTAGTATCTTTTACAAAGGTATATTCGCGTCTCGGTACGATACAAAATGCAGGAAATGAGTATGCGTCACAGAAACTAACTATGAATAACTCCATTTTAGAAAAAGTACTTTCAGAGGCTCCATGAGCACATTCTGATCAAGCTAATAGTAAGTGATAGTAAGTGATGAACTTACCATTTGCATACGCTTCTTTATTAGGATCCACGTTATTTT